GTAAATCTAACATCACAAGCAGGAGAACAATTTCTAGACCCGGTACACGACTCCTTTCTCATACAACATGTGGTAGAGCCCACACGAGGCAAGAGCCTTCTCGACCTTGTGCTAACATCAGAAGAGGACATGATTTTTCCAATTCATGTGGGGGGTAAAAGCTACATGTGATCTCATATTTTAAGATGGACGATGAACAGAGATGCCCACATAAAGGTCAAAGATGATGAATTTCCAGACTACCACCGAGGAGACTATCAAGGAATGAGAGGAATTGAAGAACATCTTGGAGGGGGTTGATAGGGGGAACATGGCATGGAAGCATCATGGCAAAATTTCAAGGTCATCACGGAACTCGTTCAAAAATATGTGCCAAAAAAGAGAAAGAACAGAAAGGGAACTAGATGGATAACACAGTTCGTAAATCGAGCATTGGTAACTAAGTGGGACCTCTGGAGAAGGTATAAATCCACGATGGACATTATTGATTATGAGATATATAAAAGGGCAATAAACTTGGCCACCCACAATATCAGATCAGTCAAAAGTAACTACGATAGAAAACTTGCCCATACACAAAGAAAGATCCAAAACCGTTCTATGCCTATACAGTATAAGAATAAAACCAAATCAAAGGACTCTGTAGGACCCTTAATAGATGAGACTCTCCAAGTTATGAAGGACGACAAAAGGGCAGCACTCTAAATGAATATTATACATCAGTGTTCACATTTTTTATTATATTTATATATACAAGAGTTCTTACATTCTTGTACAGCCACTAGCACGCATAGCGTTTCCGGCAAGTTCTTAATCCTAATTTTCACACACACATCCCCAGAAATCATCCCATAGCAGCTAACTCCCAGGTACCTATTTACTGCTGAACAAGGGAATCACAGGATCATGATTCATATAAGGATGAAAGAAACTGTGCCCATTTGAACAAATCCACAAGGGCCGTGACGAGGGTTCGAACCTACGTCCGAGAGGATCCCAGACGCTGCCTTAATTGACTAAGCAGATCAATCGACTTAATCTGCCCAATTTGTTTCCGCCTCCGCCGGGGATAGAACCCGGACCTTTAAGACTATGAACACCGAGCGTTGTCCACTCAGCCGTCAGGCCCCAAGGGTTAGATGCAATTTACACTTGAAAGGTTAGATGCTATTCCATCACACACAAATGTATGCAGATGAAGAAAATGAATATAGCGATATACCCATAACATGCGACATAATCAGGAAGAGCATTGATAAACTAAAAGGACTCAAAAGCTCCAGGTGTGGATGGAATCCAATGGGTTGTCACGAAGTCTCTTCTCTCCAGATGTGTTACTAGGTTTTTTCTCACAATCTTCTCCATCACCTTGCATGGTATACAAGTTAAGGACACTGGCCTGTAGTTCAGTGCCTCTTGTCTGTCACCCTTTTTGTATATTGGTACTACATTAGCAGTCTTCCATATTTCTGGTAGGTCCCCCGTTTTCAGTGACCTACTATACACTATGGAGAGTGGTAAGCAAAGTGCTCCTGCACACTCTTTCAATAGCCATGGCGAGATTCCGTCCGGCCCAACAGCTTTTCTCACATCCAGCTCCAATAGGTGCTTCTTGACCTCATCTCTTGTAATTTCGAACCTATCCAAGGTCACCTGGTTTGCTGCCACCTCTTCTAGCGCTGTGACATCTCCCTGTTCTATTGTAAAGACCTCCTGGAACCTTTTGTTGAGTTCTTCACACACCTCTTTGTCATTCTCTGTGTACCTGTCCTCGCCCACCCTAAGTTTCATCACCTGTTCCTTCAGTGTTGTCTTCCTCCTGATGTGACTGTGTAGTAGCTTTGGTTCGGTCTTGGCTTTATTATCTATATCATTTTCATACCTTTTCTCAGCTGCTCTTCTCACACTGACATACTCGTTCCTGGTTCTCTGGTATCTCTCTCTACTTTCTGGTGTTCTGTTATTACGGAAGTTCCTCCATGCCCTTTTGTTCAGCTCCTTTGCTTTCATACATTCCCTATTAAACCACGGATTCTTCCTTTGCTTCTCTGTTTTTTCCTGTCGGGCTGGGACAAACCTACTTACAGCCTCCTGACATTTTTGGGTGACATAGTCCATCATGTCTTGTACGGACTTGGTTCCGAGTTCTGTGTCCCAATGTACATCCCATAGGAATTTATTCATCTCCTCATAGTTTCCCTTTCGGTACGCCAGCCCTTTGGTTCCCAGTTCTTTTTTGGGGGTGATAATTCCTAGCTCAACCAGGTACTCAAAGCTCAATACACTATGATCACTCATTCCCAATGGGGCTTCCAACTTAACTTCCCTTATATCCGACTCATTTAGGGTAAATATCAGATCAAGCAAGGCTGGTTCATCCCCTCCTCTCATTCTTGTCGGTCCCTTGACGTGTTGACTTAGAAAGTTTCTTGTTGCCACATTCAGCAGCTTAGCTCTCCATGTGGGTCTCTGTTCCCCCAATCTATCTTCCCATGGTTGAAGTCTCCCATGATTATAGAAGTCTGGATCCGTTCCTTCTAGCCACAGAAGCTGCTCTCTCTATTATATTGATGGTGGCCAAGTTGTTTCTATCATATTCCTGTCTGGGTCTTCTGTCATTCGGTGGGGGGTTATATATGACTATTATAATTTTCTGTCCTCCAGTTGCTATGGTGCCTGATATGCAGTCACTGTAACCTTCACAGTTCTGAATTACCATCTCTTCGAAACTCCAACCTTCTCTTAGTAGCAAAGCTACACCACCTCCTCCTCTCTCTTCTCTCTCTTTCCTCACTACATAGTAGCCCTGTGGAAACACTGCATTTGTTATGATTTTCGTTAGCTTTGTTTCTGTGAGTGCTATTATGTCTGGGTTTTATTCTAGTGCCCATTCTCCAAGTTCACTTGTTTTATTTGTAATCCCATCTATGTTAGTGTACATCGCCTTGAAGCTCACTTTCTTCTGTTCATTTTCATGTCCCTTTCTTGGCGAGCATTCTGCTGGTGTGGAAAGCTGTTTCGTGGGTGAGAAGATCTGTGAGGTGGTTTGCAGGGTCTCAGAGGATTTTGGGGTGGAGGGTGGAGGTTTAAGGGAAGGGGGGACAGGTAGGGTGTGGGTTAAGGAGATAGGGGGGACATGGAGGATGTATGTATGTATGTGCATAAAGGATACGTGGAAGCTGGTCAGAATTGCATTTCACCTTTGTAAATGCACATTAACGACACTATGTAAAAGACACATCAAACACTTTATGCAGACATAAATCTGTGTATCTATGTATTTATGTCTGTAGGTTAGATGAGCATTTTAAAAGCACTGCAATCACCTTCTGTAAGTAAGTACAGTAATTGATTATCAAAGAAGGCACCAAGCCGGGAAGGCTATGTAGCACCATCAAATGTGCGGAATAATCAGAGGGCTGATTATTAAATATCACTGAGGATGCCAATATGAGAACAGAAACGCACAAGGCGAACGATATCAAAAGTATCCGATTCACCAAGAACTTGATCGAGGGATAAGTGACCGTGGGGGACGGTCGGAAAGCAAGACACACGCTCGTCCTGGAAGTCAGGACATTCAACAAGGCTATGCACAATTGTAAGAGAGACAATGCAGTTAGGACAATAAGGAGCAGGGCGGCGCTCCAATAAGTGTTCGTGAGTTAAGCGCACATGGCCAATACGCAATCTTGCCAGAGTCGTTTCCCACCGCTGGTTACGGTGATAGGAGGAAGGCCACAGAGACACTACTCTTAAGAATATGCAGTTCGCTACCAGTAATAGAAGACCAAGAACCCTGCCAACGGGCAAGTGTGGAGGAATGAATAACTGGGTAAAAGTCGGAATAAGGAATACCTTTACGGGAGATGGGACAAGTGCAGATAGCTTCCTTAGTGGCAATGTCAGCATGCTCATTTAAAGACACCAATATGGCTGGGAACCCAACAAAACTCAACTGTCTTAAATCTACTGGAGATAAGAAACAGCCAATGTTGAATCTTGAATACCACTGGATGGACTGGATTAAAGGGCTCCAGAGCCATGAGGGCACTGGGAAAGTCAACTACAACCACAAAGGAGGATTGACAGCGAGAAAGCTTCTGTAGTTGCTCAATAAATCCCTGGACTATATGTTTAACAGATCTCTCACCCTGTCGATGGAGGACAGAAGAAATTGTATATACTGTATGCTGGTTAGCATTGTAAATGTGTGGCCACGTTTGTGACAGAAAATAAATAAATATAAAAAAAGTGGTCAGCTTACTAGCAAATAAGAAACAAAGTGTGGAAGTTAAATAAGATTTCCTAAGCCAATTCCTCTGCATAAAGAAAATTTATTGCACGAAGGAAATGGATCCAAAGGGTATTAGGAACACTAAAAGGGATGTTTAAATGGTAACTTAGATGCTGGTATTTATCAAAGGGCTGAGACAAACCTGGGAGTGTGAAGTGCCAGCTTCTAGACAAATCAAGAACTCACATTATACATGTAACAGATTTGCTACTATTACACTTGCCTTTTACTTTCAATTTTCGTTTTAAATGAAAGCCTTACATGTCTTACTCTTATATTACATTTAAACACTAAATATTTTCAGTGTACTTACAAGTTCAAAACCAGAGATTGTAATTACTGTACAGTACATCATATTCAAAGGTAAGAGACACATCAGAATGAGAGGAGTAATACCATCAAAAGATTCACTGGAAGGCATTTAGACAAAAACAAAATGCATACCAACCTTAATTATAAATTTTTCTTGGAAATTCTACCTTTAACAGTTGACATCTTCCTACTCATTTATTCCACGTGTTTGTTACACAAGTCTAGTTGTCAGCAACTATATGCACAACATATGGGAAAAAGCACACTTCTCAGACTCACTTATCAAAAAATACCATCAGCATATTTATGATCATTGAGCTTATTTCAAGATTATTTGTATTAATAAATATTTATGCTGATGCCTATATCTGTGGAAATAAAAACATAAAAGAAAGAGTAATATATTTTTTATTTCACAATATGCAAGTTGTTTGCATAGTGTAACAAGGTATGGCAACCATGATGTAAAATCTATCAAGAAAGGAAATTAGTGTAAAGTTGGAAGGAAACAAGAGGAGAAAGACAAATCAACTTAGACAAGTATATTTGCTATGTGTAAAGTTAAATAAGAGAGAGAGCAGGAGCACTCGTACTGCATCTTGTTCCAGCAGAGTTACCAACACTCGCTGCCACACTCATATGTGTAGGCTATGCTTCATCGCTTCATATGAGAAATAAATGCCAAATATGATAATTTTTTAACAAGAAAGTTGACAAAGAATTCTTTAACCTAATAAGATTCATTGTAATATATTAATTTTCATACACCACATTAATTTACACTATTGTCAATATTTAAATATAATTTTGAATAAAAAGAACTTTAGTAGTACGTACTGTACTGTAATAGTATGGTAATTCCGGTAATTCACAGTCCAGCAACACAAATAATTTTTTTTTAGTACTATCACAAAGGATGTTTAGGGCTACTGTACCGTGATTTCTGTTGGACAAGATACCCGAACATATTTGAGCTTGAGTGCTTTAGCTCGAAGCCAACTTTATTTACCGTAATTTTGTCGTCGAGCTCCTGAACGAAATGTGGTGACCTATACTGTACTCATAATACAAATTACATAAAGAATGCACTAATAAAATAAAGAAATATAATATCTAATATTAGGACAAATAATAATGGATAAAAACCGTGAACAGGCTATAAAGTACAATTTCCCTGCTAAAATAGGGATTTTTTTTTTCTGTATGGCAGCCCACGTAACTGCCCCAAGCAGACCTGTCCAAGCCTGGACAACCTACCTAGCCATGTGCTCTCTTCCCTAGTGTGATTCTGTAATGCTGCTCTTAGTGAATTATTTTCTTTCCTTTCTTTGTTCTAATAATAACTTTGATAATTTTTGCCAAAGCCATGTCTGGTAGCAGCGACAATCACGGCTGAGAGGAAGAATGTTACTCTATTAAAGATAAGTTACGTCTGATTGACCTGTGAAAATGGCCAGTCTGCTGCAAGTGTGGCCAAGAATTTTGGTATAGGAGCAAGTACCGTCACTAATATACGGCCCTTCAATTAGCAAAGCCTCACCAAAAGAGTAAGGGCCTTCAACTATTTAGACCTCAAGAGCTGGCTGTCAAAACTGACCTTGACAAGCTCACATACAGTACAGTAATTTTAGTGTTGTGTTATATGATCATTTGAAGCCCTTCATGAAAAATTAAAAAAACTGACCAGCAATTTGAAATTTTTGTTACTGTCAATACAGTAAATTATTTGAGTACTTTATTTATATAATATATCTTATATATTATATAAATCTTCATTATATAAATGAAGATCCTCTCTTAACCATGTAAATTTGTTTATTGCATGTGGAAATATAATTTACATTGGTTGTAGTACAAAAATTATGAATGTTCAATTTTGGACTTTCCCAGTAAAAAAGTTGGCTGACTCACAATAGGGGGGGGGTCCCATATTATTCAGATTAGCGATCATAGAAAGTGTTCTCCTTTCCAACCCAATAAATTAATGCACTTACAGTATTGCAAATCAAATAACCCTAAACTTACAAAAGTGAACAAAATAATTTTCATGTGAATGAAACTATAGTGATACAGTATGCAGATATCTGAAGTGTAAAACAATGCAGGATAAATTTCAGACAATTAATCTCATCACCAAAACCCCTTCAACTCTACTTAAGCAAGATGATGGTCCCAGCTCTGGAAAGTGCTGCAGGTGTTGCTCTTCAATAAATTACCTGTATACGACTATAGAAAACAGGTTTTAAGCTTAGAAGGGAGAGATTTATGCTTACTGATCTCCTATTGTAGCTGATGGGAAATGCAAATTTGTTTAGCTGTAATAAGAATTATATTGTGTTTGAAGGGTACAACAAGCACATTACTCAGCAGTTTGTTCTTTATGAATAATGCATGTTCAATACTAGAAATTTTCCATCTTATTTCCTAACATTTCAACACCACTCACTTTCTAAATTTTCATTTGTGCAAAAGTATTACATCTTTTAATATATCCAATATTTATTTTCAAAGTGGGAAAATGCAAATCATGATGACAAACCTTAATCTGTGGGTGTCAACCAATGCTGTAAATTGGGGTACTTAGCACTGAAAATAGCCAGCCAAATAGCAGTTGTGTTAAATCACAACAATTATTATCAAACTCTGTACAACATTTTGGCCATTCTTTATGCTAGAACCAACAATGCACTTAATATTAAATATGTATGATGCATTATTTGACTCCCACCAGGATGTTAGTGCATAGGATCTACAAGTTCAATGCAGTTAAAATGTACACACACGTCAATTAATATATACAGTGGCGCGTCGATTAACGAGTTTAATCCGTTCCAGCACCGAGCTCGTCATGTGGAAAATTCATCTTGCGAAACAACAACAAAACTGTTGTCGGAGGTGTCTGAGAACCAGCGGGAACGCTCGTTATGCGAGCGAAAGCTCGTCAGCCAAGACATACAGTATTTTCTGCGAGTAGCTTGCTTGTTACTCGAAATGCTCGTAATTGGAGCCGCTCGTCACTCGAGGTTCCACTGTATAATAATATCACTGTACCACTGATGGGTAATATATGAAACATGAGGCACTTTGTTTTTGAAGGTCCTCTCTTTCTCTCCATTTGATGAATTCAAAAAGTTTGCACCCATATGGTATAAAAGAGATTCTGAAATAACATGACCTACTGACAATGTTTTTTTATGTAATCCATAGACTAGTCATCATAATATTTAACATAACTTATGCAAGTTACATAAAATATCTATACTTTTGTAATGTGTCAGTATAATTACTTACAACTCTCCATCCTGGATTACAGAGCGGACACAAAAGTATGGGTTATAACAGGAATAAAACATTCTGGCTGTCTTTAGAGGTAGGTTAAAATGGGCAAATCAAAACACTCAGACAACTGTAAACAAGCAACACTGCTTAAATATCTGGTAGAAAGTTTGCTGTGGTGGTGCTTTATATTTTAAATGCAAAATTAATATAAAGCCCAACACTGAACATCTAGGCTAACAAAATATACAATATACATACATACTGTATATCTCTGCTGCAACTGCCATTGTAAATCAAAGAATTTTTGAATGATACTAACAATAACATTTTGTGTTTTCTTGATTTACCTCAGCCCTTATATTCTTGCTACTGCAAGATCTCATAACAACTATCTTGAGGATACATTATATATATTAATGATTTTGAAAACTTTCCAACCTTATTTAAGCAAAATGTTTTGGCTTGCGTGATATGTCAATTGATAATAGAAAAATACACTTCTATATTTATGATAATTGAAGATAATATATATACTGTATTATATATATATTTTTTTTATTTTGGCAGGAAGTGGAGGAGAGGGGAAGTAATTATCAAAAGAAGGCACCATGCCAGGAAGACTATTTAAAGGGGAAGGAAAACTAATGAGCGTGCGTGCGTGTTTGTGAGATAGAGAAAGTGCAAGTGTGTGTGTAATTACCCAAGTATAGTTACAGGATGAGAGAGATACGCATGGTGTCCCATCTTCCCTATCATCTTATATGACTCTGGAAACTACTGATGGTTTTGGCATCCAACACTTTCTCACTTAAATTATTCCTATCATTTACAACTGTTTGCAAAAAAGAACTTTTGGACATATTTTTGACACCTTTGCTTTCTAAGCTCAAGTTTGTTGCCTTCTTGTTTTAGATGTTGCAGGTTTTACAATTTCTCTGTCAACTTCATTGATCCCTGTCACAATTTTGTACATGATTGTCCAGCAACCAGGAGGCCTGGTCGACGACCGGGCCGCAGGGACGCTAAGCCCCGGAAGCACCTCAAGGTAACCTCAAGGTATGATTATATTTCTTCTTTTTCCTATCTACTATTATTTGCATTTTAAACACCCTCAAATTAGTTAGGCATTCTGATGCACATAAAAGAAAAAACAATCTAGGAAGTAATAGTTTTACTTAATTTGGCCATAGTGAGGTAAAGAAGCAATGTCATATTCTGAGGAATAATTTCAAAGGTAACTATTTGCAAGATTCCTCATCATCACCAAAATATTTCAGGTCTATAAAGTCCTTGCAATTTTGCATGGCATTAATTGTTCCTAGCATGGGTTCCAGTAGATGGATGGATGATGTACTAAACAGGGTAATGTTTTAACCAACGTTTTCAGTTTTCCCAATATTGCAAATGATTACTAGAGGTCTAGTGTTGAATGATACTAAATGTTAATGCCTCCAGTCTTTCCTTAGTGCTACTGTCCCCAATGCCTGGAAGCCACTTGGTAGAATGTTTGCACCTTTTTTGTTTTTATAGATATGGACACCATACATCTGTCAAATACTACACCTTCAGTCTCACCAATGTTGTGAATACTGTTAGCGTCTCTATATCCTTGTATTTAAAAGCAATTTATAATTTTTAAGTGTGGAGTTGGCTCCTCTCGCAGTGCCTTTGACGGGGTCCTCAAGTGAAAGTTTACTATCCAGAACCATCCCTAGATCTTTGTCCATGCTCTTTAATGTCTTCACTTAACTTCTATTACATATGGGTCTGTTTTCTTTCTATTCCACATTTCATTACATGACAATTATCAATATTAAATTCCATCTGTCATTTATTGCTCTATTCATTATTTTGCCTAGATCAGTTTTTTGTTTAAGTTATTATGAAGGGCAAGGCAGACATTCAAGTCTTCGACTCTTCCAAGTAATTTTGCTTTATCTGTAAACATACTCGTGCAACTCTGAATAACTTCTGATAGGTCATCCACTTAGACAATGAACTTTACTACCGTAAGAACTGAACCTTGTGACTTGTATTGCTAGTGACATTTCTCCATTGTGATTCACTGCTCTCAATTTTCTGTTCATCAGAAACATTTTCATCCAAGTCAGTAGTCTCTTTGTGTGGTACAGTACTGTCAAAGGCCTTCTTCAGGTCCAGGGACATGCATTCAGCCAAGGCCTCTCATTCTTGCAAGATCTGAGATTCTATTGCAAAATCCAATATGATTCATTATGAAGAATCTTACCATTCAAAAACTGTCTGTACATTTTTACTGCATTTTTTTCAGGTATGGGAATGTGCATGCATGTGTGCTGCTTTTGTAGCAAATCAGGAGACTGGGATATATTAGAGCCTGGCATTAAGTTCCAGTGAAACCCTTTAGTTACGGAAAAAAATATCCTGATACAGAATACATGATGTTCACTTAGTTAATGTAGGATTTCAAATATTTCCGAAAATGCATCAATACTTTCCCTGATTACCCCCACCTATCAAAATCATATTACAAATCTATCAATTATACTGTACAACCATACAATATTAAACAGGAAAAATTTAAAATTATAATTTAACTAACTTTTCTCCTTTTTGCAAAACATTACAACTTTCACAAGATCTGTCTACAACTGAATTCAGTGCTGCACTGATGAGCAATATGAACTTTCTGTATCGTCCAAAGGAAAATGTACACAATTCCTTTTAGCTCATCACTCAAAGTAGGAACAAAGTCCTGACATATGACCTTAAATTATAATAAAAACTAACTTAGAGTTGATGCTCTTACTTGTTACAAAACTATTTGCAATCACTTCAATTGTCTTCTTATGCTTGCAAATATTTAAAACTTTTATAAGTTTGAAATATCAGATAATAACAATATGTTAGAAATGCATACTAGCTACATTTGTCAAGTGTCCCAAATTGCTATATTAAATCTAATGGAGACATATTTATAGCTTTTACCACATATGATGTGGACTTACAAATGCAAAAAACACCAATGTGAGAATGGTTACAAAAATGTGAGCCACTGTATATACACATATCAAGTTCTAGCATTCTAAATTACCACATGACCACAAGTCATGTGTTGGGTATACAAAGGCCCCAGGTTTACAGAGGAGTATGGCTTCTCTTCTACCCATTGTTTGAATATAGTTCACCCTACAACTAAACAAGTTTTTCACTTGAGCCGATGTGATTCAGACAAGTAATCAATTTACCCATTTTACTTTCACACTGTCAATCATTAAAACTAATTAAAATTTCATTTTTTTTTTAAACAAGAATATACTATGGTCTGGTGTAATGAGTAGTAGTAACAGCCTGGTTGATGATGGGAACTTGTGTGGTAAGAGCTGGGCTGGAGAGATCTACCACAAATGGCTGTCCTGACCCATACATCACCTGGGAGCTATCACTTGTACCATCAACACTCTGCTTAGGTGCAGACACAGCAGGCACTTGGTGATGGGCTGAGACAACTAAGCCCTGTTGATGAGCTGCTACAACTGGAACAGGCTGATGGGCAGAAACAACAATCTGTTGATGGGCGCTTACAGCCTGTTGATGAGCTGTAACAACAGGCAACTGCTGATGGTTGCCAATAACCTGTTGATGAGCAGATACTACTGGCAACTGGTGATGGGCATTCACTGTTTGCTGGTGAGCTGTTATTGTCAATTGCTGATGGGCATTAACTGTTTGTTGATGCGCAGTCACTGCTGGTAACAGATGGCCACCAAGAACTTGCTTATGAGTAGTTACAGCAGCCAATTGCTTATGTGCTGTTAAAGCTTGTACTTGTTGATGTGCTGTCACAGTTGGCATCTGTTGATGAGCTGTAACAGTTGCTAATTGCTGGTGTGCAGTAACAGCTTCATGAGCAGTGATCACCGGAAGCTGCTGATGGCCACCTGTTATTGTTGACAAAGGTTGATGAGCTGAAACCATGGTTAGGCTTTGGTGAACAGAATCAACCTGGTCATCTTGATGTAAATGCTGACCAGAAAGATCTATTACTCCAATTTGCTGCTGGCTTTGTTCTGATAAACCATGGAGTGCATGTACTGCAGATGACGCTGATTGAATCACTAAAGTTTGTGGATGTGTGTGATCCAGACCATCTACTCCATGCCCCAGATTCTCTAACATTACTTGTACCATAGGAACCATAGGAAGTTGTGTGATGTGCTCTTCTGACACCAGCCCTTCACGCTTCATATGAGAAGTTTCATGTAAATGCACTTCCACTTCCACTTGTTCTTGTTCTTGCATATCAATGGTATTTTCTATCTCTGTTTCTTCCTGCTGTTCTTCTTCTTCTTCCTGCTTTAATTGTGCATTTCTAATTGCTCGAGTTCTAGAGCGAGACACTCTGTCAGTTGGAGCAGCTGGCCTTTTGTTCTTCCGCTTTTTAGGCTTTTTCCAGGGAGGTTCTTCTCCATCTATTCTTGGGTATTTTCGAGGCCTTCCTTTGGGCCGCTTGGGTCTTGGTCCTTTACAGCGTACCTGATGTTTATTTAAAAATGTAGGTGTACGAAAACATCTTTCACATTGCTCACATTTGAATGGTTTAGATCCCAAATGATGAACTTTACGATGTGCCTTAAGGTCACGAGCAGATACAAATGCTGTATTACATTCACGACAATTAAAGGGTTTCTCTCCTGTGTGATGTCGGATGTGAACTCTGAGCTCAACACTCTGTCCAAATGAATCTCCACAAAATTGGCACACATATGGTTTTTCTCCAGTGTGGCGTCGCACATGATTTCTTAAATGTGATGAAGTGAAAAATGCTTCTCCACAGATACCACAGATGTATGGTCTTTCTCCTGTGTGAGTGCGTTTATGACCTACCAGATGAGAAGATCTAGAAAATGTCTGGCCACATTCTGAGCACTGATAAGGCCGTTCACCTGTATGTACACGCTTATGCGCCTTTAAATTCGAACTTTGAATGAATGATTTTCCACATTCTACACACACATAGGGTCTAACACCAGAATGGATGCGCATATGACTTCGAAGATTAGAACTGTTGGTAAATGAAGACCCACACTGTTCACAATGAAAATTTCGCTCTTGATTTTCAGGATGAGGTTTTTTGGATTTTTTGGACTTTGCTGGAATCATAGTGACAGTCAGAGCTAATGGATCTTGTGGTAGAGGAGTCTGAACTGGAGTGGGAGCAGGTGTGGGAGTCTGCGATGGTGCAGCAACCATCTGAACTGTAGGCACAGCCACCTGTACTTGAACTGGATGGTTGACAATTAAGTCATTGTAACTACTATAGTTATACCAAACAGTTGGCTGAACTGTTGCCTGAGATATAGATTGCCCGCTAAGTTGATCCATGGCTACTTTCCTCTTGTAACTTGATGGGGGATTTTAAAGTTGATTTTGATTATATCTTCTGACTACCACATATCTAAAAAAAAGATAAATAAATGTCAGGATATACAAAAACAAGTTTATTCAAATAGGTTTATAAAGGAATGGCAAAGTAATATAGTGCATAATGTAAGTAGTAACCCAGAAACCCTTAGATGCTTCAGAACTGAAAGTGAGGGGAAAAAGACCAGAGGGAGGGGATACCATTCCTGATGGGAAAGAAAGAGAAGGTGCAGACATAACCACAGTTCAATTAACCAACACTTCCAAATCTGAGTCCCTAAACACCAACTGGGGCAGCTGCGGAGCATCCAACCGAACATACAACCTAGATAGCAGCAATACAGAAAACGTCAAGTGCAAAGCGGTCACTGCATGAAAACCCTGAACATTACCAGGAGGGTTTGTAAGGAGAGTAACGTATGGTGAACAAGTGAGAGTGGGGTTCGGAAGGGAAATTCATTGGGCCACCGAACCCGCAGGGGCTTTCCACGGTCTGCAGGAAATGGTCCTGCAGAAAATAGTTGTGCAAGGTAACTGAAAACATATTTCCTGAAAAAGTCTGCAGAGCAGCTATAGCCTCTCAACAAGTCAATATCCAATATATATCTAATAGCCTCAACGATATCAAAGAAAAAATCTGACCTTCAAGTTCTACAGCAGCTAGTGACACTGATGATGACCCATGTGTGTCTGTAACCCATCCATCATCTCTCACATCAAGTGCAGCCAGTAACACTAAAAATGACCAGCCAACCTCAACCTTATCGCCACCTGCTGCTCGTGCATCATTACCTACCGTCGCCTCCTCCAGCAACTAGATCTCTTCACTCTTCAAAAAGAGTCAACTTTGACAAGTAGGACAACTCTGTTCTGCATTCCAAACAAGCACTTTACAAACACATTTCTAGAATGTAACACATTTGTATTAAGGGGACAACCTGTACTAAGGCTGAAGTTTTCTGTTATGCTGATAATTTAGTTCAACTCATACCAACCAAAGATGCAACAGAAAACTTGATAGAAATACAGTATGTGAAAGATATAGTGCAGGACACAAATTCAACTGTGCAAAATGTGCTGCAGTTGTAACCCAAGGACTTGTTTTATCAAGATCCCAATTTTTTTTGTATATACGGTGAAACCTCGACTTACGAATGTCCCTACTTACGAATTTTTCAGGTTTCTGTTACGAACCTGTTACAATATCTCAAATATATGAATAACCAATTCGTAACATATACAATGGGGCCTCGACTTCCGATGCTAATCCGTTCCCAGAGACGGATCGGAAGTCGAAGCGAATTTTCCCATAAGAAATAAAGGGATTTGAATTAATCCGTTCCCCACCCTCCAAAATATTAACATAAAAATACATTTTATACTGAATACAATGTTTTTTCTAACTACAATACAATACCAAAGTTACTCTTACCTTTATGGAGGGCTCTTGATGGCATATGGAAGATGGTGATGGGGGAGGAGGAGAATTGTTACTGTTTGGAAGGGGAGTCCCCTTCCATTATCACATCAGGCAGTGATGTTTTCTCTAGGGTACTCTCTCTCCTACGTTTTACCTGAATACCACTAGGACCTGGTTGTGGTTCAGTGCTTGTTTGTCTCACTACAAATTTGTCAAGAGACATTTGTTTTTCCATTCGTTTTAACATTTATCTGTAATGATGCGTCACTTTAGCACCCATAATGTCCTTTATCTTAGCTAGTATGGTGGATATCGTTGACTGAGATTTGTTGTACTGCCTAGCCAGTTCACCTACCTGCACACCATCTTCATATTTACGAATGATCTCTTGTTTTTGCTCTATGGTCATTCTTACATGGGATCTCATATGTTGAGCCTTACCACTGACTGTCCTGGTACTCATGGCGTATTATATAATAATTACTTTAATGTTCAAAATGCAAAAAATCACCACAAAAGCGGAATTTCTTATAGGCGCGATCGTCACTAAGCGGGCAGCTGTAGTAAACTGAGGCAGGTCGGACCGCGTGACCGGGAACCACGCGCTCGGCTGACCCGAACGTGTACCAACAAATATCGGATGTCGAGTCGCATTTTTCGATTAAATTTATATCGTAACTCAAAATTATCGTAAGTAGGGGCAATCGTATGTCGTGGTGCCACTGTATTAGATTAAGTACAGTAGTAGTGCTAGTATATTAATCATTAAGATGGAATAAAGATGATAGAGTGCTTTGGATTATCTACTGTTTAGTTTAAGAATGAGAGTATTATTATTGTGTCTTGGATGATTAGCTTGTATTCATGTTGTAGGATATATATGTGAGGGAGCGCAAGAGAGCAAGCCAGTAGTAGTCAAGTGGTACGTTGGGAGGTCTCGCTAGGCTTGACCGGATGTCAGGGATTACGGAATTGCCAACATTGTCGTATGAGTGAGGTGATTGAGTATGTTGCTGGCTGTTCCTTGACTCCGAGCTGTGTTTGTGAGCCGTGGAGTCGTCATCCACACAAATCATGTGTGGACGATTTGACGACTTGCCAAATATGTTTTTGCTTTCTATATATTGTTTGATTATAGTGATTTACCAGTTACTGAGGGGAAGAGAGTGAGCCACCTTCCACACATGTTGTACATGCGGTCTGCAGTCACGTTTATGCATGTCAGTTACTGTACTTCTTGTATATGTCAGTATTTCAGTTATAGGCTTACATTATGAAAGCTGTGTTATCTATATGTTTCACCTGTGAGGGTATATTAAGTAAGTAGTCTTGTATAACAGTCATGCTACACTCAGTCCTGTGTACATGTGGCAGCAGTCAGAGCCAGAACAGGCCTGCCACCCCAGCCTGTGTGGAGGCCTAGTGTTAAATACTATGTAATGAGTTAATACTGTTTCATTTACTTAGATATTGGCCCAGTAATAATCAGCTGATTTTGCTTTACCGTTTCTAAGTAAATGAAGGTTAGCTTTGCAGATAGAGCTTAGTAAGGAAATTATAAGGCCTAGGGCACTCGAACACATTTGTCTGAATGCAGGCTGCACGCAGGCAGTCGCACGGGTTTTTTAGTCAGTTGCATCCTAGGAGCTGGTGGTGAGGGATGGACTGGTGATCTCTAAATAGCCTTGGGCTCTTTAAGTTAAGTGTTTGTCTGTTTAAGTTAGGATATAGGACTTGTTGATGTGTAAAATACTAGTGCAGGTTTGTGCTATTTATGTAGAGTTCCCGGTTGAGTGGGACATTCTTATTGTGTTTATCAGATAGATAGCCTATTGCCCGAGACTGTTTCCATTCCTGAGCTGGTCACGTAGTGTTCTCTAGTGATGTTCATTAAGTGTTAATTGTAAGTGAGCTTATTTTATTTATATATATGTGGAGTCTTGGTGTTTATTCTGGATAGTGTGGAGTCAGTGTTTTAATAGTACCCCATTTTCCGTGCCAAAGTACAGAGTTGGGGGATTTCTATTGGATGACTAATTACTCTCGAGCCTTAATCGCATCGCACTTCATAACAGTTACGGTCCAAATTTCGTTGTAAAATTTGAATCGGGTTACGACTTTGTTGATACTGTACATGTAAGTGTCAACTGAGTGTGTGTTTTCTGGTGGCATGGGCAACTCTGCTTCAGTTTACCAGACCGCCCGCTTAGGGACAATCGCGCTTGAATTCTTTGTATAGAATTTCATTGTTTTTTGAACATACAAGTAATTGTTATATATCACGTCATGGGTCTCACGAAAGTCAGTAGTAGGGTTCAACCTAAGAAAACACATGTGAGGATGACCATAGAGAAAAAACAAGAGATCATTCGTAAACACGAAGATGGTGTGTGGGTTGTTGATATAGGTTCTTAGTGAGAAAACAAGCAATGAGCTGCAATCAGATCCAAGTGGTATGCAGGTAAAATGTAGGAGAGAGAGTACCCCAGAGAAGTCATCACTGCCTGATGTTATAATGGAAGGGGATTCCCCTTCCAAACGGTAACACCTCTCCTCCTCCCCCCACCTCTCCTCATTGTCTTCCATACCCCAACAAGAGTCATTAATAAAGGTAACCTATAACTTGTACATACGATAGTACAAAATGTGTGTGTGTATTATCTATGAAATGCATTTTGAAGTTAATATTTTTGGGAGTATGGAACGGATTAATTCAATTTACATTAATTCTTATGGGAAAATTCGTTTCAGGTTACATCCCATCTCTGAGAACGGATTAAATTCATAAACCAAGGTACCACTGTGTATGTATGTATGTATGTATGTATGTATGTATGTATGTATGTATGTATGTATGTATGTATGTATGTATATATATATATATATATATACAAGAGTTCTTACATTCTTGTAAAACCACTAGCGCACACAGCATTTTGGGCAGGTTGTTAAATCCTAATTTTCCCCGGAATACAACCCGGCAAATCATTTAACAACCAGGTACCCATTCTCTGTTGGGTGAACAGAGCCTACAGTTAAGGATTGGCACCGGGTCACTCCTCTCCGGCCAGGATACGAACCCAGGCCAAACTAGGTAGAGAAATTCCAGAAAAGGCATCTGGGGTATATTATATATATATTTAAAGTATTTTAACAATGCCTAAGCTTATATTGATGTGAACTATGGGACCAACAAAATGCTAACCTTAGCAAGCTTAATTGTGAATGGAGGAAATGTTCAAGACGTATCTTGGAAGTCCATTCTCACATCCAATGCAATCTCCTCCCTGGTCTGATGTCCACACCAACACTTGAAGAAATAATTTACAAATGAATTATATAATTTTGTCAGAAAGGAAATGCCCATTCAACAAACTCAATCAACTGTCTTTTTATTTTTCAGATACCCACTTACCCAACTCAAAGTCTACTGTGAGTCTACTACTACTATTAACCTTTAAACTGTGCATGGCATATATATACACCATGAGTAACATGTACTGCGGTGCGCATGGCGTATATATACACCATAGGATGCCAGGCACGATTCAAATGGCCCGCGGCTACACAGGGTTCACATTAGCTTCCTCAGGGCTTTTGTAAACAGACACCATTTAAAAAAAAAATCGTGGGCAATATTCTCCGGTGTGAGAGCCACAGTACTGTTGGAGCAACCAAGGCTGGCGCACGCAGCATGAGCGAACAGCATTGCTGTTCAGCTTGTGACCACAGCATTGCCGAAAAATGTCAAAATAAATATATAACTGCTATTATTTAATGATGACCCCTGACTGATAAAAATGACCAGAATTGTGATAATAGCAGGATTGTTGTGATAATTACCGCTGTGGGAGGAGTGATGCTGAGGGACGGAGGGAGATAGCATCATTTACTGACTGTGTGGCTACCTGTGATTGTCTGCATTCACCATACCAGCTCAGTGGTTCTCTATGGTGAGTAGATATTTATATATAATGTGTGTATTAGTGTAATGACAGCAAAAGGATGGACCAAAGCGTCGTCGTCCCTTCACCTTCTAGTGTGTGGTCTGGTCAACATACTTTAACCACGTTATTGTGACTCATCGCCTGCAGCAAAAGGATTATGTTGGGAGGAGACATTTGGGTGACGGAGGTGTCGTCGTCTGCATGACTTGTCTAGCTGTGTAGAGGGTGGCCACTATGCTCTTTGGGCACCCTACAGGCTTAGGTGTACAGTTTTGGTGCATACAGCATGTAGATACTTATATATGTGTGTATATAGTGTAATAACACTGCAAACAGTATTGTTGGGGGAGAAATTTAGTATGTGTGACCTTGAATGTGTGAGGGAGGCAGCTGCCAGCTGACTGTGTGTAGTGACATCTCTAAGTGCCTGAACTAACTATATCAGCTTAGTTGTACAGTTGGGTTGAACAAAACATGTAGATACTTATATATAACGTCTGTATATAGTGAACAAAATAAAAAACAGGATGGTGGGAGGAGAAAGTGGGTGAGTGAGGCATTGTTGAGGGAGTGGCAACGAGTGGCTGGCTGTGTGGGGCGGTCACTCCTCGTTGCTTTTCGACTCACAATACCAACTTAGTGGTTCGTTATGGTGAACAAAACATGCAGATACTTATAAATAACCTGTGTATAGAGTGTAATAACAGCAAAACTATTTGTTTATTGTTTTATGAACATAATAATTGAATCACTAATATGTACACCATACTTTTGAGTATAGCGATGATTCAGCCCTTTTATTATATAAATATATCACAATACACACTATTGAATAATATTACTGCAAAAAACTAAGAAAAAATCAATCGGAGACATTGAAATAATGAGGTAATAAAATCTTTGTGGCAACTCCCACCTGTCAGCTCAGGTGACGCTGACCAGCTCTGACAACCGTTCTGTCAATGCCCACATTTTGCCAGACTTCCTCAGCCTATTGCACCCAAAATATGTCACCTACGATTTATTTTTTATTTTTCCTGTGCTCAGGGAACACAAATTAACATTTTAAAACATGAAGTAATTTTTTAGAATTTTTTTTCTTGTACACAGGGGTGTAAATCTCCTCAGGACCCCCTTAGCAGCTTAAAGGTTAATCCAATTAACAAAGTCTACTCCCAAATTGTTTAGAAACACATACTAAATTGGAAGGAAGAATAACTTAAGAATGAGCGAATAAATGAATAAATAAATGAAGGTAGGAATGAGGAAGAAATAAATTTGTTTTCTACAAAGAGATAAGGATCAGGAAGCCTATAAAATAGTATATAAAAGCATAACAACAAAATCAATAGAGCATGGGGAATTAAAGGACAAAGGGAGGGGAAACATGTTCCAGAAAAATCATATACTCTATAAACATAGATGGAGAAATATAAAAAATACTGGAGCTGATATGATACAGCTTAAGATGTCCGAGATTGTCACATTAACAGAGACGAAACTTGATGATGATAATATTTTAGATAAGGTTATATTTCCAAGGGGCTAAGCCCAACCACTTGGGCTGAACGGTAGAGCGACAGTCTCGCTTCATGCAGGTCAGCATTCAATCCCCGACCGTCCAAATGGTTGGGCACCATTTCTTCCCTCCATCACATCCCAAATCCTTATCCCTTCTAAGTGTTATATAGTTGTAATGACCTGGTGGTTAATGACAGCTGTTCTGGCGAAAGAACAGCTGAGGGTTAGATAATTAATAATTGACACCCCACAGTTAGTTGACATAATGGCCCTAGAGATTTGTAATGAGGATGATAAATTTATATTTATTAATGCCTACAGTCCACCAGCAAGCAACACATGGACAAAGGATGGGCTGGATGACAAATGAGAGGGCCTCATAATGATCATGACAGAGCAGCAGGTCTTCCTCTAACACAAGCCTCTGTGTAGTTGTCGCTCCTCTACACCACAACACAACATCCCACCCTACAGTATGGCAAGTCTCCCTCTAACACGCACCTCTGCTTAGTCACTGCTCCTCTATCTACAGCGTAAGACAACAAACACTTCTGAAACCTTGTCATTCTCAACACTAATTTCTCTCCCAACATTTGTACTCGTGTAGTCATCGGAAGGATAAGCCCTTCATGCAGAGTGCACCTACCATCAAAAAGATGAGAGTGCAGTCAGAGCAGATAAGGATAAATCATGATTGTTGATACCTGGGTGGCTTCAACTTCAAATGAATAGACTGGGAAGACAATAAAGCAAGATCGGAGGACATTTGAAATGGAAGATCTTTAAACTTCATCCTGGAGACATTCACGTTCCAACATGTTAAATATGCCACGAGAACAAGGAAAGGGGATGTTCCATCGATGCTGGATTTGATATTTACCAGGAAAGAAGAGATATTTGACATCCAGTACCTTCCTCCCTTGGGTACAATTGGCCATGTCCTTTTGGGAATAAAATATGCAATGCATTATAATCTAGAAAAGAATGAGAAAAAAGCAGTTGAAAAACCTGATTTCAGAAGAAGACACTATGGGGAACTTTGCAAGTTCTTTAATGAATTTTATTGGAAAAACTTGTTAGGCAAGGAAGTAAATGAGTTATATGCCAAATTTTATGAGACATATGATAAAGGCACAAAAAGATTTATAACAAGAAAGAGATGTAGAACTATAAAATAGGATTGGTGCAACAGTAATTGTGAGAGGGCCAGAGAATAAACAACAAAAAATAGAATCAATATACTGTAGTAAGAGGCCAAACCCTTAAACGTACCAATAATACAAAGACACAAGAAACAATCACACAGCATTGAAAAGGGAAGCAAAGAAATTTTGAGAAAGGGATAGCAGACTAACGTAAAACAGAACCAGGCCCCTATTCTATAAATTTATTAAAAGCAAATTGCAGGTAAAGAATAAAATTCAGAGGTTGAAAATGGGGGAGCAGTTTCATGGAGAACAAAAAGAAAATGTGTGAAAGACTAAATGAAAAGTTCCAGTGTGTTTGTGCAAAATGTAGTTTTTAAAGAACTGGGCATAATACGAATTTCAGAAAATAAGAGAGCACATCGAGGTGTCTCGAGACAGTGGAAAAAATGCTTAAGGCTCTAAGTAGGAACAAAGCAGTTGGCCCAGATGGAGTTTCACTTTGGGTTCTGAGAGAATGCACACCTTAGTTCAGCACTCTACTTCAATTGATTCTTCGGTCATCTTTGTTTTCCATATGTCGTGGCAGATATATGGAAAAAGGTTAACAGTGCCAATCTACAAAAATGGAAGCAGGGAAGACCTTCTGTATTATAGATCTATATCATTAACAATCGTAGTAGTCGAAACGTTAGAAAAAATAATTAACCAACCAAATGGGTAGAACACCTGTAGAGAAATAAGATAATAACAGACAGTATGGTTTTCAATCAGAAAGATCCTGTGTAACAAATCTACTTAGTTTCTATGATTGAGTCACAGATTTTACAGGAAAGAGATGGTTGTTTTGACTGCATTTATCTGGACCAGAGAAAGGCTTTCAACAGAGTCCCACATAAGAGGTTGTTCTGGAAACTAGAACATACTGGAGAAGTGGCAGGGAGACGGATGAAAAATGGATGGATGAAAAATGTTCTGACAAATAAATGAGGGCAGAAATCAGAGACAATGTATCAGACTGGAGAATTGTAATTTGTAGAGTATCACAGGGTTCAGTTCTTGCACCATTAATACTCACTGTCTACATAAATTGAAATTGAAATAAGTTTATTGAGGTAAAATACACACAAAGGGATGAAATGTCTACATAAATGATCTACCAGAAGGAATACAGAATTATATGAACATGCTTTCTGATGATGCTAAGATAGTATGGAAGATAAGAAACTTAGATACAGTAATTATCATGACCTTCAATAAGACCTGAACAAAATATGTGTATGAAGCAACACCTGACAAATGGAATTTAAAGTGAATAAATGTCACATCAAGGAATGTGGAATAAGAAATATAGACCACACACAACCTCCAAATTATGTGAAAAAGTTTCCAAAGAATTTTGATAAAGAAAGAGATCTAGGGGTGGTTCAAGAGAGAAAACTCTCACCTGAGGACTATATCAAGAACATTGTGCAAGGAGCCTTTGCTCTGCTTTCCAATTTCAGAATTACTTTTAAATACTGTAATGTACATGGATGGCAAAATATTAAAGAAACTGTTCACGACCTAAGTGAGACCAAAGTAGGAATAAGCAGCAGTTGTATTTATTTATTTATTTATTTATTTATGCATATACAAGAATGTACATAAGGAATGTGAGGATACAAATATGGTAATTACAGTCTTGTAAAGCCACTAGCACGCTGCGCGTGCTAGTGGCTTTACAAGAGTCATTCAGTGAAACGCTGCGTCATTCTTTACTCGTTTACTGTATGGTGCCTGTATCTCAAGAAGCACATAAAAAACTTGAAAAGGTACAAAAACATGCAACAAAAGGGGTTCCGGAACTGAAGGACAAGAGCTATGAAGAGAGGTTAGAGGCATTAAATGTGCTAAAGCTAGAAGTTAGAAGAAGAAAAAGAGGCAATATGATCACTACAGTATATACAAAATAGCAAAGGGAATTAACAAAGTTGACAAAGAAGAATTTTTGAAACCTGGAACTTTAGGAACAAGAAGTCATATATTTAAGCTAACTAAACAAAGTTGCAGAAAGAACATTAGAAAGCTCACTTTTATGAAGTGGCAGATGGTTGGAACAATTTAAGTAAGAAAGTGATGGAGGCCAAAACCATCAGTTGTTTCAAAACTTTATCATATAAAGAGTGCTGGGAAAATGGGACACCACGAGCATAGTTCTCATCCTGTAACTACACTTAGGTAATTACTTGGAACCACCACTGTACAATGGTACCACCATGGAACACGGATACTCGGGACCCTCTTCGGAACAGTGTGTGTATGGGACCATCACTGTACACTGGTACCACCACACTCGGGACCAATACAAAACACTGGTACTCCCACACTTAGTACACTTGTACTAGGTACTGTCAAATCATACTCAGATATTTTGACAAAGGTCATTTTATAATTGCCAAAATAGTATATTTTTTAGGTTAGGATGCATTGGATTGGATTGCATTGGGTTCCGGTTTAAATGAACCATCTTGCGAACAGTGTGACTTATTTTCCGCAAAATATTGCATTTACAGCAATATTTTGGCTGCTTTATAGACTGGATGTTAAATACCCCATGTTATTTGCCACAAACAAATCTTAAGCATTGATACCCACCAAACTGCCTTACTCTATGTGTTCTTCCCATGCATACAGTACTAACTTTTCTCACCACTCACCATATCTGCACATCTTCGGCGCCGCCTTCTTTTCATCCTACCATCAAACTCGCTTGAATTATGATGTTTGTAGTTTTCAATGGAGCATAGCCTAAAAATAAATAAATAATAAGTGCACTTAATGGCACAACATTTTTAGCTACAATATACAGTAATAATGCACAAAGAAAACATGATGTATCAATGAGAAAATCAGTAGAAACCATGACGAGGATTAGAACCTGCACACTGGGTACACGCAAGCATGCATTTTCTCATCTTCTACTAATTTTCCTAAAATTAATCATTTTAATATTGAAAAATTTAATTACAGTATACAGTAAAATTAAAAATACAATACAGTGTAATGCTGTATAATACAAAAATGCTGTATATGTATTACCTTTATACACATATAATATGAATTGATGTGTTTTTGATTTAGTACTTAGTTCCTCGTTTACTTTTGATAAAAAGTATGCTACTGTATAGATTCCAAAACCCTTTAACCATTTTAACATGAGGCACTATCAACTAGGTAAGCTTTGACTGTAGCACATCAAAAGAAACCTCCACAGGTCATCATATCTCAAGACATGAAACCCAGTCAACAGATCAAGCTGGCTCAAGAGAGGAGCATAAGCAGGGTAGAGGTAAAAAATGCACGAGACAACTTGTGAAATGGTGCTGAGGTGGTGTTAATTGACACTAATGCATTTTGAGCTAATTTTGGTGGATCCCATGTGATGCATGAATCTTTTGTGAAGTTCTTTGGCAGTTTTGAGATTGTGTTCTGTGAATCCTCCAGCTATCTGTAAAGCTTTGCTGACTTTCTGGAGGTCGATGGGGTAGCAGATTGTCACTCACTCCCTGCTCCTTTGTGAGGGAGGCAGAGTGTGGCTCTGGTCATCCAAACTTCTGCAACTGATGTCAGCCTTTAGTATGTAGCAATCTCATCAAGATACCTTCAGGAAGACATTGGGGAGGGGGGGGGGGGCCTCCATCCAGAAAAGTCTTCAAGTGTAAATAAAAAAGTTACCTTGAATAAGAGACTCGGCCATTCTAATACAGTATTTCACTCACAAAAGTGCAAACACCAATGAAATCCATTCAACTCGACTACCTGATTCAGCTGGGATCATTTAAATTCTCTGGACCATCATCTCTCTTGCTGCTGCACCTCAGTTTTGGCCCCTGTTCCCAACTTAAGACTAAATGTTGCAAAATACATTTTTTTATATTTACATTTGTTTCACTAAAAAAATCTTTGTAATAGAATATATGGTTAAGTACCTTAAATACACAGCCTAAATTATCCCAGGACACTTAGATGCCATTTAAATGAACCAGGAAAAGTCTGAAGAACCTCCTAAGTAGAGTGAGAATTTTTATAATGATAATATTAATGTATATTAGGCAAGAGTACATACATAAAAAAAAAGAACAAGAAGCCAGCATTGAATGTAATGAAAAGCCATTTTTTGGGAGAGTCCCACTGGCTCCCTGAAGCTATCATTCACTGATCAGTGTCATCAGTCGAGAAGTTCTATTGCCTACCTGGGACCATGAGCCAGAACCTGCTCCCCCTCAGAGAGGTGCAAGGAGAAATGGCCTATGAACACTTTACATTTAAAGTTAATCATACTTGCCATCACCAGGGAAACACTTAGAAAGTTAGGCGAACCAAAACATACTACTGCATTGTTAAAAAATGAGACTGCATCCTCAAAATTGCTATAAAAAAAAAAAAAAAAAAAAAAAAAAAAAAACTCCCTCAACAATGAAAACAAACCAACAAAATTTTGTGAAACTAGCACCTAGTTTGCCCACCCCTCCCCTCATTTTGGGGAAGGATGGAAGAAGGTGTACCGGTTCAGCTGTTCGTCCCATCCTCGGTTCTAAGATGATGAAAGACACTGACGCCCTAGGGAAGGGGGTGTCTCAGGGATACCTTGCGATGATTTCAGGGCCTAACATCCCTGCGGCCCGGTCCCCGACCAAGCTGTTGGATGTGGCTGTTCACAGTCTGACATATGAACCACAGCCTGGTTGATTAGGTATCTTTTGGAGGTGTTTTATCAAATTCTCTCTTAAACACTGTGAGGGGTCGGCCAGTTATGCCCCCTTTTGTGTAGTGGAAGTGTGTTGAACAGTCTCGGGCCTCTGATGTTGATAGTTCTCTCTCTCAGAGTACCTATTGCACCTCTGCTTTTCAACAGGGGTATTATGCACATCCTGCCATAACTTCTGGTCTCATGTAGTGTTATTTCAGTTGGCAGGTTTGGGACCAGCCCCTCTAATATTTTCCATGTGTAAATTATTATGCATCTCTCCCGCCTGCACTCTAGAGAATGCAGATTTAAGGATTTTAGTTGGTCCCAATAGAGAGTCTCCAGGACTCGCCCAGAAACTGGTATTTCATTACATTAAATGCTGTTTTCTGGGGAAAGCCCCATTGGGTCCTTGAAGTTAAGTACCCACAGAGAAATCAAGAGAAAGCAACACTGAAATAATAGACAAGTATGTATAAAGATAACAGAAGACTAGACATCAACGAGGCCCTACACATCAAAATGTCAAGACTAGCAATCAACAACCAGTTAACACTTCTACCACCTCAAGACCCTGAGCCAACACAGAGACAGGAGCAACAAGAACATAAGCTGCTTATGTTGATGCATGTAATAGCCTATTAATTAATATCTCTTATGTTATGACATTCATCCACTTGTTCACCTCAATCACATCTTGTACCACCTCACCCCCAAGATAATATAAGCATTTACAAAAGCATGGTAAATTTGTTTTTTAAAATGTAAGGAGTACCTTGCAAAACACATCCCTAGGCATCAGACCATAATAAATTGTGAAAATTAACTTTGGAGAGTTAATTTTTCAACTTCCCTCGACAGTATATATATATTATATATGGCACTCGAGGCACAGTTAATGACATCATCAAGAGGAGCCTCACCACAGCTGGATGCCCAGCTGAGATAGAGCCCCGATACCTAACGCCCCGAAACTCTGCTGCTCTTATTGGTCGCCGAAATGGTATCACAGTGAACCCCTGGAAGTATGGCAAGCAGTTGGTGAGGGACTACACGTGTATCAACCCTGGCTAACATCTACATTGACTTCAGTGTTGCATATCCGGGTGATGCTGCCACTTACAGGAAATAAGCCAAGTCCCGTAATCACACATGGAGAACTGGATCACCACTACAATTTTGTCCCCATTGCTTCCGAAACACTTGACACCTAGGGTAAGAGTGCCACCAGTTTTTTTGAAGGAACTGGGTTCTAGGCTAATTGAAATAACAAAAGACCCTAGAGCGAGCCTCAAGATTCCTTTTCCAGCACCTCAGCATGGCGATATAGAGGAGAAATGCACACTACATCCATGGTTCCTGCCCGCTATCTGAGGAACTGGAGGAACTTAACAACTTATGATAATCAACTTTCTACCTTATATGTAACTTCTTTTTTGTAATAAAGTTTAAATAAAACTAACACTTACATACATAAGGGGATGGTAGGAGATGACAATATGTGCCAGCGCACGTGGGAGCCCAACAAGGCTCCCCCGGGTGCTGCATATCTTCCTCTTCAAGGCTCCCTACAAACAACAGAGGTGGTACCCCCCTTTATATACATCTTATTAGAAATAAACTAAACTAAGAAGATTTAGTTTCTTAAACTTTTAATTTGAAGAAGAAATTAAACAAATGATAAACAATTTTTGTAATAAGGTGTGTCTAGTAAAGCTACAAAGCACATAAAGTAAATTAGTAAAATTTAAAGGTTTAAAATTGTAAATACCTAATAAACAGGAAGATAATACTTATGACTTGTGTAAGTAATTTTACAAAAATAGAAACTTTAATCAGATGGCACTTAATGAAGAAAGGCATACATTATTAATAAATAAAATTTAAGATAGTCACAAAAATGTCATATTTTGGTGGGGAAATGTTAGTGTAATTAGGTAAGTGATATTAAGTAAATATTACTTAGTCTCCCTCTTAAATTGGTTGGAAGATGTAGTTTTTAATTACATTTGGGAAGTCATTTTACAATTTGGGACCCTTGATTTGCTTAGAATTTCTGCTCTGGTTGAGTCTCACTCTAGAGATATTAAAAAGAAATTTGTTTCTCTTGTGGTGCCTATTACAACCTTCAAGGAAGCGCACAAGGTCAGGATCAGCATTGCAGTTCAGAGCTTTAAAGATATAAGGTAAGGTACACTTGAGAGGATGAGCAGTGACCTGATATTACATTTTCATTTTCAAAGATTTTATTTAGTAAGGAAGCAGTGGTGTGTGGGACTGGAGTGTGTTATTGTCCTAATTACTGATTTTTGTAGAGTAATAAGGGGGTCAGAGGTAATTAAGGGTGGTAGATTCCCAGGAACAGATACATAAGAACAAAGGTAACTGCAGAAGGCCTATTGGCCCATACGAGGCAGCTCCTATCTATAACCACCCAATCCCACTCATATACATGTCCAACCCAAGCTTGAAACAATCAAGGGACCCCACCTCCACCACGTTATGTGGTAATTGGTTCCACAAATCAACAACCCTGTTACCGAACTAGTATTTACCCAAGACTTTCCTAAATCTAAACTTATCCAATTTATACCCATTGTTTCGTGTTCTGTCTTGTGTTGATACTTTTAATACCCTATTAATATCCTGATCATACCATAGGCGAGATAGAGATAAATAAGCAATATATTTGTGAGTGAATGAGCGAATGATAAGCAAATTATACTGAGTTACCACTGGTTCCAAATCTGAACATTTCTGCCTGAAACGCTGCGCGTACTAGTGGCTTTACAAGAATGTAATTACTATGCTATGTATCCTCACAATCCCAATGTACCTTCTTGTATATATATAAAATAAAATAAAATAAATAAAATAACATGGAGATTACATCACATGAAACCAATTGGCATGGCAGGATGTGCAAAATAGCCCCATTGAAAAGCAGAGGTGCAATAGGTACACTGAGGGAGAATTGTCAATATCAATAGCACAAGACCTTTCAGCACTCTCCTGCTACACATAATGGGCATAACTAACCAGCCTCTCGCAGTGTTCAAGA